TTTGAACGGGATGAATGTATGTTTTCTTATAAAGTCTGGTGGGTATCCAAATGTCCGTAGATTATTGTAAATATTCTCTTTTTCTTTTTCTTTTAAAGCTCGAAGGGAACAATGGGTATGGAGCCTCTTAGTTAGGGTTTTGACAACTGATATTTTGTAAGAGACTGGACTGTAGGAGTTAAACGGGATATATGATGGTTTGGCGGTATCTTTGTAATAGACAGTTGTTTGGAAACTGTTCCTATTTCTAAAAATGAGGGCATCCAGATATGGTAAGGTGTGGTTTTCTTCTCTTTCTATTGTAAACTTAATTTCTGGGTGGTAACTGTTAAGAGTGTCAAGGATGGCTTGGTCCGCTCCTAGGTGATATTCACAATATATATCATCAATATATCGTCGCCATTTCTTAATCCCCAGATTCTCTCGACTGTTAATCCAGCCATCTATTGTCAGTAGAACAATTTCTGCTACTGTAAGGGAAAGGGGGCTACCCATGGGTGACCCCTTAATCTGCCTGTAAATCTGGTTCTGATATGTAAAATTATTAATGGAGAGGCAAGCCTTGACCATGGCACAAATTGTATCAATATTGTCGAGTTCTGCCTTCACAAGTATATCCCGTAGGTTACTGATTATAAGATCATGAGGGAGGCAGAGGAAGAGGGATTCCACATCGAAGGAACAAATCCTACTGTTAGGGTCGGGTATAGATCTTCTGATATCACCTATAAAATCTGCTATGTTGTTAATTGAATAGATGTTCCGTTAACGGACATGGGGCGACAAAAGCGAAGACAAAAAACGAGATACCACTATAGCCGGCGAAAGGTGGTATGCGACTATTGGTCTTAATGGGATATCTTCCTTGTGCAACTTCGGAAGGCCATATATGTAAGGAATATCTGTGTTATTGTTTATGAATGACTTGTATTGTTCATCAGTGATCTTTTTGTTCTTCCTGAGAGATGCTAACGTTTTCTTAAAAAGAGCTATGGATTTAGAATTTTCGGCTTTAGATATGGGTTCAAAAATCTCTTTGTCTTCCAATGTTGTCTCCATCTTATTCTGGTAATCCAATCTGTTCATAATGACCGTACTACCTCCCTTGTCTGCTCTGCAAACCACCAATTCCTTATTGTTTTTTATGTTTTTAATCGCTTGGAAGAATTGTTTCTTAGGTTTTATATCAAAAGTACCCCTTCTGTTAATTTTAGCGGCGACTATGTTCCTTATCTCTGATTTCTGTACATGGTTGAAAGTTTGGATTACGGATTCGATTGAACCAATGGTTCTGAAAGGGTCAGTTTCGGTCGGTATTCTGTTTTTTAGGCCATTTCGTAGTAAATTCTCTTCTGATGGGGAAAAAACAGATTACCAGAATAAGATGGAGACAACATTGGAAGACAAAGAGATTTTTGAACCCATATCTAAAGCCGAAAATTCTAAATCCATAGCTCTTTTTAAGAAAACGTTAGCATCTCTCAGGAAGAACAAAAAGATCACTGATGAACAATACAAGTCATTCATAAACAATAACACAGATATTCCTTACATATATGGCCTTCCGAAGTTGCACAAGGAAGATATCCCATTAAGACCAATAGTCGCATACCACCTTTCGCCGGCTATAGTGGTATCTCGTTTTTTGTCTTCGCTTTTGTCGCCCCATGTCCGTTAACGGAACATCTATTCAATTAACAACATAGCAGATTTTATAGGTGATATCAGAAGATCTATACCCGACCCTAACAGTAGGATTTGTTCCTTCGATGTGGAATCCCTCTTCCTCTGCCTCCCTCATGATCTTATAATCAGCAACCTACGGGATATACTTGTGAAGGCAGAACTCGACAATATTGATACAATTTGTGCCATGGTCAAGGCTTGCCTCTCCATTAATAATTTTACATATCAGAACCAGATTTACAGGCAGATTAAGGGGTCACCCATGGGTAGCCCCCTTTCCCTTACAGTAGCAGAAATTGTTCTACTGACAATAGATGGCTGGATTAACAGTCGAGAGAATCTGGGGATTAAGAAATGGCGACGATATATTGATGATATATATTGTGAATATCACCTAGGAGCGGACCAAGCCATCCTTGACACTCTTAACAGTTACCACCCAGAAATTAAGTTTACAATAGAAAGAGAAGAAAACCACACCTTACCATATCTGGATGCCCTCATTTTTAGAAATAGGAACAGTTTCCAAACAACTGTCTATTACAAAGATACCGCCAAACCATCATATATCCCGTTTAACTCCTCCAGTCCAGTCTCTTACAAAATATCAGTTGTCAAAACCCTAACTAAGAGGCTCCATACCCATTGTTCCCTTCGAGCTTTAAAAGAAAAAGAAAAAGAGAATATTTACAATAATCTACGGACATTTGGATACCCACCAGACTTTATAAGAAAACATACATTCATCCCGTTCAAAAAGGCTACCCTTACAGTCAACAGAACCAGGGGTTTTATAGATTTCTCCCCTACCAATCAGCGAATAGTCCATGATTTGAGGAAATATGGAATTCAGTTCACCTATCGCAGCACAAGCACAATAGGACATATACTGAGGAACCCCATTACCAAACCAGGAGTTAAACATGATGTTCAACATAAAAGCAACGCGATCTATTCGGTTGCCTGCAATGATTGTGAATCCGTTTATGTAGGAGAAACAGGCAGAAAAATCGAAAACCGAATCAAAGAACACAAATACAATATCAGCTCAAAAGACCCCAGATCCCTTATGTACCAACACACGTTAAACACAGGACATAGTTTTGATCTGGATAACCCCATCTGCCATTACAACAACATCAGATACAAAGGGGAAAGATTAATTTTGGAATCCTTGGTTTCTGGTTGTAAAGACAGCATAAACAGAAGAATAGATGTCCCAGAACAGTTCCGCTGTCTTTTTTAAAAGAATTTGAAGAACGAATTCTGCTATGTCCCCCCTTCCCCACTTAGTTTTAAACTTAATTTAGTTTTAAAGAAGTTTTTGCATATCTGATTATTTTTCAATTCTCTAATTTACCTTTTTAGCATATCTTTGAGCGAATATTTGTATATATTTTTTCTATTACCTCTATATATATATATATTAATAAGAATCTGATTTCGTTTTGTAAAAACGCCCGTTGAAGAACTAATTGTTCGAAAGCTAGCGTCCGTTATTTGTAATAATAAAAGATACTGATTGCGAGAGGTTTTTGTCTTTTGAATTTAATGCATTTATTTAAGGAGCGACCCGTTCCAACACAATAGTTACAAAAACCAAAAAGCGAGTGGGGGGGGGCAAAGTCAAAAACAAAGTGTCTCGCGTAGTGGTGGCGTGATCGTAGCCAACCAATAGGAGAGCGCAATTCCAAAAAAAAAAAGCAAACGGTGACAGAGATGACACATGACGCTCGTAACTGTATATAGAATACTTAGAAAACAAATGGAATTTTTTTTCAACAGGAAAAGTAAGTTACAAAAAGAGTAAAGATATCTAATAGAGAAAAATAAAATGATAATTTAAAATATCAGAGGAGGAAATAAATAAAAAAGATTTCTGAAAACGTCACTTAAAAGCTTCCATTTTTTATCTCTTTTGTATATATTTTCCTTTTTTTTTTAATTTCTTTGTTCATATTTCATTGTGTGTACCATTTAACAAAAGAGGCACCTCTCCCTTTAAAATTACATTAAATAAATGTATTTTGTTTATCATCCCATTACAGAACGTATATATAATAATGATGATAAAGAAAATGTGCCACAATATCAGTTGTTATTGTAGTTGAAATACCGAAGGGGGCTACACGCTACACGTAATTTAGTAATTCCATATACATTGGGTGGTAGCAAGTAACCATTAAAATACCTTCCTCGTGAGAAGTCGGATCATCGAGAAGTAAATAATGAAGTAGAGATCTAATTTTCAGATATAAGAAATTAGCGATTTACTTTTATAAATATATTCGAAAAGCCTTACGCAATATGTTTCTTTATTACAAAAACACCACGAACTCTCGCTCTTCAACAGGCAAAACATTGAGACAGATTGTAATTTTACCCTGTTGAAGAGCGAGAGTTCGAAAGCTCGTAGTGTTTTCGTAATAAAGAAACATATTTCGTAAGGCTTTTCGAATATATTTATAAAAGGTCTAATTAACAATAAGTAACTATAACTTACATTTGTCTGTATCGATATATTAATATATACAGTTATCAGACATAATTATAGCCACGCTCAATAAATTGAAACAGCAAGTAGGTAAACAGCGTGGTAAGTTTCTTTATTGGGAATTACGAGCTTTCGGACATCAGCTGCCCTTCATCAGGTACAATGGGTGGTTGGAAAAAGTGAGCCAATATATACATGCAGTAAATTAGCATAAGAGAAAGCTAACTAACATCTATTTAAAATAATTAAGAAATTTACATAAGAACTAAAGATAAAAGTACGAAATTTCTAAAAAATACGAAATTTCTAAAAAATAGACTAAAAATCTGTGTATGACGGATAAAAGGTAAAACACGAGAAAAAGGATGGGAAGAAGAGCGTAGGCATCTAGGCACAATGAAGGAAGGAAGCGAAATAAGATGTCAGTGGCCAAGTTTAGAAAAAGCAGTATATTGAGGGGGGAGATCTATTTTCCTATTAAAACTAGGGATGGAGTTAAACACGAGAGCCTCCAGGACCAAACGTTGATATTTATTCTTAACTTCACTGTATACCGGAATCGTGTTGCGTAGATTAAAAGAGTGGTTAAATTCGTGGCTGTGTTGATATAGTAGTGACTTACGATCGTGGGAACGGATGTTTCGTTCGTGTTCTAGGACACGAGTGGCAATGGTGCGGCCAGTTATCAGAGTCATGCACAATTCTGTCACGTTAAGTCACGTGTCAAGTTACGGTAAGTAAAAATTTAAAAATCATATATACAAGTATCAGAGTCATCAATTCTGTCATCGTTTTAAAAAATTAAAATATTAAAAAAAGATGCCAAAACCCGGGATCGAACCAGGGACCTTTAGATCTAACGCTCTCCAAACTGAGCTATTTCGGCTTATTTTAGTTATTTCTATAGAAGCTTCTATCTTTATAATTATGTATATTTTCAAAAAGTCAATTCACACCTCTTCGCTGGAGACCATGGGAATACTGACTAATTCATTATGCTAACTTTAAAATATACAAGTATCATAGTTATCAATCAATTCTTAATTCTGTCACCGTTTGCTTTTGTGAATGGAATAAATACCCAAATATGGACATTTCTTATAAGCATCGGTAGTTCAGTGGTAAAATACTCGCCTGCCACGCGGGCGGCCCGGGTTCGATTCCCGGACGATGCATTTTTTTTTACAATTTTTAAAACTCATTTATATATTATACAAGAATGACATCCACGGCGCCAATTTATAATTGTAACGAATAGTATTTGAATAAAAGCATTTAATCGGGTAAAACCCGGGCGTTGCCCGGGCCATTCGGCTAGTAATCATATATACAAGTATCAGAGTCATCAATTCTGTCACATTAAGTCACGTGTCAAGTTACGGTAAGTGCACACAATGCAAAAAAAAACTTTACAAATTTAGCGTTACTGTATGTAAATAATCACTTTCTTATTTTTAAAATTTTTTTCTGGCCTTTGTTTTTTTTTTATCTCTCTCTTTTTTTTAAATCGTTTAAAATGCAGTCGCAGTCACTAGCAAACACATATGTCTGCCTAATTTCCATGTGCTCTTTATTTTTTACAGAAAAATATTTACATGCTAGTATTTTGGATTAATATTTTTTATAAACCTATTTTTTCTTATTTTTATTGAGAAGATGGGCATCGCAGTCAAGATCCATCGTAGTCACTCACTCAACTCAGGCAATTTCAAGGGTTAGTGCGCTGGGGCGGGTACCTCGGGGGTTGGGTGGAAAAGCTGCCATCTATTTAAACTATATTGATTTTGAAACAACTAAATGCATTGCAAAAATAATTAAATCAAATACCTAAACACTAATATAATACAATTTTTGCCATCACACACACTTTTTGCCTGTGGTTTATGTGTTACTTCTGTGTTGCTATTCTATGGCACTTCTACTATTTATTATTGATTTACTTTCAGTATGAAGGAAATTGCACTCGGGGTAATTCTCGGGCGAAGCCGGGTCATTCGTATAGAGAATTCAAGAATAACATCCACGGCGCCAATTTATAATTGTAACGAATAGTATTTGAATAAAAGCATTTAATCGGGTAAAACACGGGCGTTGCCCGGGTCATTCGGCTAATATATATATAAAAAGGTATAGTACACTTTAAAATCGATAGTGTTTAAACTAATGATGCGCTTTCACAGTTGAAACCCGAAAATATATTTATCTCAGAAATAACGGCCATCAATCAGAGTAATCTAATATAAAACCTCCCTCGAGCGACCTCTCTGATCAGTAACTACCTCCCTTAGTGACCTATCCTTTGTAGAATCGCCTTGTCCAGCCAGAACCTAACTTTCAATTGCGACACTCAGCCTGAGTTTATCTGAAAGACTGAAACCAGACACATAAACAAAAGATCTCTATTTCTCTTTTAAATTTAAACTTCATGTTAAACAGCGACAAAAATCGGGTTAGGCAAGTAAAAGAACTTTTTCACGTGGAGTTATTATTATGGCAGAACTCTGTTATAGCGGCAAACTTTGTTTTGGAAAAATGAACTCAATCCGAATAGAATTTGTATGTTCTGGAGAGGGGGGAAACAAGGTGTGGCTCCCCCAACATCTCGTTCTACAGGAGAATTTCAACACCACGTTGAGACAGCAGGAACATTTAGACACCTACCTGCTACATTTCTATATCTTGTTGTTGGCTTGTTAGAGCGTAGTCTGGGCAGTAGGACACCTGACACGATTGATGGGTGGCCTTTGGGAAGCTTGCAGGGAGTCCTGGAATGTGTGTGATAGCTGTGAGACCTTAAAGTTCACAAAAATCCTAAAAATCTAGATGTTTGGCGATAGTGAAAATGTCATATTGTGAATATAAAATAATTGTGTGTGTTTTTATATAATAATAATAGAATTGCTAGAAAATAGTTGACAATATTTTACCACATGGAGTAGCAGTGAGAAACCTTTATTACAATCTAAAAACTATATCGATTTAAGATGTTAATAAAGAATACACATTGTAAGTTAATGTAGTTGTTCAAATAGAACAACTGTATAAATATTATTCTCTATCCAGGTTAGAACTCGTTCTTTTAAATCACTTTTGTTGAACCAAATATGGGAGATATAGTAGTTGCTAAATGTTCTCAACCTGTTTTTCAGAAGATGCGGAAGAAGTTCGATATATTCTGTATCACCACCATGATAGGTTTCGTTCTTCTGCCATCAGAAATAGGTAAGTTGAATTTTTGGTTGCGATAACCTTTCAGTACAGTAGCCATTAAACACGGTTACGTACAAAGTATCCTACTCTTTCCAAAACTATTGAAACTCAAATTGTATTGTTGCTCGAAGAAGGGTATGTGTGTGTGTGGGGTGGATAGGAGAATAAGCGCATTCCATATTCAAAATACTTTTTCTATGTCGAACTGAGAGGGAAATTATTGAATTTTGAGATAGAATTACTTACATCAATCTTGACATGTTTTGTTCAGACCTTGGAGATGTAGTTTTCGAGACGTTTGCTGAAAATCCCTCGTGAAGAACTGCCACAAATGACAAGAAGTTATCACAAGCGAGGAGAACCGATGTCTCTCTCATTAAAACATACTAAACAAACGATGACATGGGATCATTCTAAAAAAGGTTGGTTGATGGACGCTCACATTTATGGACCAACTGAAGCCAAAACAACGTCTTAACGACAGTTTAAAACTACGGTTCGGTCTTCTTGAGGAGACTGATTGAGATTCGCCAGCTTGAACACACATTTCTGGCAAATTCGACCGAACTTCTCTCGTAGGATGTTATGAAATCGAAACCGCCCCTGTACTAAGGAGGGCCATAGCCCGAAAACATGGTATACAGTTGGCTTTGGTCTGAATTTTCCAAAACTAGTGTTGTGGCTTATTTTTCGTCAGCGCCTTTACGTTTATGTACTAGGGTGATGAACAAAATGCATTTTTAAAAGGAGAGGTGCTTCTTTATACGGTCATGTTATACTGATATTCCACCAACTTCCACCTGACTGAATTAGTTAGCTAAGTTCTAGTAATGAGGTAAGAATGAAAAACTTAAATTTCCACATTAATCTATATCTACTTATATAATTGCCTTATTCTGTCTGTATGTCTGAAGCTCACGGATAGAACGCGCGCCCATTGGCTGCCGGCGAACACGTGTCCTCCCTGCCCCCCTCTAGACAACCCTGTTATCAGCAGTGTGTTACATCCACCTGTCTATAGCGGCCATTCTAGACAACCCTGTTATCAGCAGTGTGTTACATCCACCTGTCTATACAGGTCACCCTGTCTATAGCGGCCACTCTAGACACCCCTGTTATCAGCTGTGTGATACATCCACCTGTCTATACAGACCACCCTCTCTATAGCGACCACTCTAGACAACCCTGTTATCAGCTGCCTGTCTATACAGACCACCCTGTCTATAGCGGTCACTTTAGGCAACCCTGTTATCATCAGTGTGTTACATCCACCTGTCTATACAGGCCACCCTGTCTATAGCGGTCACTCTAGGCAACCCTGTTATCATCAGTGTGATACATCCACCTGTCTATACAGACCACCCTGTATATAGCGGTCATTCTAGACAACCCTGTTATCAACTGTGTGATACATACACCTGTTTATAGCGGCCACTCTAGACAACCCTGTAATCATCAGTGTGTTACATTCACCTGTCTATACAGACCACCCTGTCTATAGCGGTCACTTTAGGCAACCCTGTTATCAGCAGTGTGATACATACACCTGTCTATACAGACCACCCTGTCTATAGCGACCACTCTAGACAACCCTGTTATCAGCTGCCTGTCTATACAGACCACCCTGTCTATAGCGGTCACTTTAGGCAACCCTGTTATCATCAGTGTGTTACATTCACCTGTCTATACAGACCAACCTGTCTATAGCGGTCTCTTTAGGCAACCCTGTTATCAGCAGTGTGATACATACACCTGTCTATACAGACCACCCTGTCTATAGCGACTACTCTAGACAACCCTGTTATCAGCAGTGTGATACATACACCTGTCTATACAGACCACCCTGTCTATAGCGACCACTCTAGACAACCCTGTTATCAGCTGCCTGTCTATACAGGCCACCCTGTCTATAGCGGTCACTCTAGGCAACCCTGTTATCATCAGTGTGTTACATTCACCTGTCTATACAGACCACCCTGTCTATAGCGGTCTCTTTAGGCAACCCTGTTATCAGCAGTGTGATACATACACCTGTCTATACAGATCACCCTGTCTATAGCGACTACTCTAGACAACCCTGTTATCAGCAGTGTGATACATACACCTGTCTATACAGACCACCCTGTCTATAGCGACCACTCTAGACAACCCTGTTATCAGCTGCCTGTCTATACAGACCACCTTGTCTATAGCGGTCACTTTAGGCAACCCTGTTATCATCAGTGTGTTACATCCACCTGTCTATGCAGGCCACCCTGTCTATAGCGGTCACTCTAGGCAACCCTGTTATCATCAGTGTGTTACATTCACCTGTCTATACAGACCACCCTGTCTATAGCGGTCTCTTTAGGCAACCCTGTTATCAGCAGTGTGATACATCCACCTGTCTATACAGACCACCCTGTCTATAGCGGCCACTCTAGGCAACCCTGTTATCAGCTGTGTGATACATCCACCTGTTTAAAAAACACACAGTTTGGAACGGGACGTTTCACAAGAGTGACATCCATGGCGCCAATTTATAATTGTAACGAATAGTATTTGAATTAAAACGTTTTTAAAATATATTCGCACTCGGGTAAAACCCGGGCCATTCGTCTAGTATATATATAAATGAATGTATGTGTGTCTGTCTGTCCTTTATGCCTGACCAAACCACTCATTGGAACGCCATGA